GACCAATCCTCCACAACGTGGCCTTTGTTCCTACTGTTCTTGGGTGTTAGTCTCGTACTATGTTTTTTAATATCCCACAAATGAATGCAGTCATCTAGTCTGTCCCTCTGGATGAGAGATACATGCTGAAAGTGGGTAAAGGACCAAACATAATGACCTCTCCGTATTTGTATTGCAAACCATAATGACCAAAAATAGAGAGAGAAATAAGGAAGAAAAGTGCTTGACACAGAGACAGGATGGGAGAGGGGGCAGGAGGGAAACTGGGGACATTGGTGGTGGGAAATGTACACTGATAAGGGACGGGTGCTGGAGCATTGTATGACTGACTGAAATCCAATCGTGAAAGCTTTGTAACTGTGTATCTTGTGGTGATTCAATTAAAAAAAAAAAAGATTGGGGCTGGAGTGATAGCACAGCAGGTAGGGCGTTTGCCTTGCATGCAGCCGACCTGGGTTCGATTCCCAGCATCCCATATGGTCCCCTGAGCACCGCCAGGAGTAACTCCTGAGTGCAGAGCCAGGAGTAACCCCTGTGCATCGCCAGGTGTGACCCAAAAAGCAAAAAATAAATAAATAAATTTAAAAAAAGATTCCCCCTCCCACAAAATAATAATAATGATGATGACTATTTCACTTGAGTTAGATGAAGAAGAGAATCTCATGGTAGGCTAACGGCAGACAAGATGACCAGATTGGAAAGCAATCAGAATGAAATTGCAAAGCTCATCCATTTAGTGTTATCAAGTTTGATAAAGGGCGTCCAGGGGCCCTATCTGAGAACAAAGCTGCTTTGGTTGTAAGCACGATTATTTGTCAGATCATAGGACTTCACTCTGGGACTTAGAAAAAGGTCACTATGGCAGTGGGAATCCATGAAGCTTTCAAGCATGCTGTGATGCATAGCCTGGGGTGTGTCAGGCTGGAGAAGACCAAGAGCAGAAGTCATAAAGTGATCACACCAGTCTTAATGTGGGCAGCAGAAACGGGAGAACGGGGAACCTCTGAGATGCTCAGTGTCGTTGTTGTTATAGGTGTGGTATGAGGCAGAAGCTGAAGGTCATGACCTAGCTGGTTGAGGAGTGGGAAGAACAACTGTTATTTTCAACTGTGTTCGTCCATTGGGGTTACTGCTATGTACCCAGTGTCTCAGGGAGCAACCGGCCAGCCAGACTCGGGAGAGACAGGACTGATGATTAGACGGTATGCATTCTCCATCCCAAGGTGACAAATGATCAGGATTGTCCCTTACTAGAAACTAGCTCTCCCCCCATATGCCTGTCTCCAGACCCAACCCCACCAGCAACCCAGTTCTCACTCAAGGATGAGATCTTGAGTCAGGAATTCAGTTGGGACAGATTTCTTCAAGCAGTTCTGTCCTGAACTGAACTCAACTCAGTGCGACAAGCCAACAGCACTGAGATCCTTCTCGACTGCCAGAGCCTGGCTTGGCCCACTCTCTGGGGGCTCATGTGGGATAAGGCCTGTGCAAGCCAAAGCCTGAAATGAGGCAGTTTTAATTCGATTTTTGACCCCGGACCCGTCACTTTTCCTTATATCCTTTTCACTGAGATGTCAGGGTTGGCCTGCAACCGGGCTGTGGTTTTCAAATCCTGTCTTTGAAGAGTTCTAGGCCTCCACAGCTGAGCCAGCCATGTTCTGCCCCCCAAATCAAATAGTGGTAGAGTGTGGACAACTCCAATTTGGTTGGTTTTTGCCCCTTTTCTTTTCAAAATAAATTTTTAGTTCATTAAAAAAACCATGACCTCTACCGTGATTGATAGTTGAGTTGAAGCATATAATATTTCAGCACCAGTACCACAGCCAGTGTCAACTTCCGTCCACCAGTGTTCCCATACTCCATTCTCCCCCCCACCCTCTGGGTTGTTTTTATTTTTTTCTTTCATAACATTTCCTTTTTCAAACCATCGGCAACCACTAACAATTTATTTGTGGGCAAAGGCTCCCAGATAGCAAATGAACGGTCAAGTGAGAAACACTCAGTGGGGACATGGATGAGTGTCTTTGGTTTGACTCACATTTCTTTAACTCTCTCATCTTCCTGGCCATGGTCTTACGTCACTCACAGGGTGGCATTGCAGGGCTCTTTACAAATGGCTCTGGGACTCAATAGTTACCCTGGAAGTGGCCTGAGAAACACTGAATTCAGCTCACTGGGACCTTCTAGCTGAAGCAAAGCTTCCCTTTTCTCCACATGATTTCATAGACCCCCAGAGTCAATCTTTGATAAACTCACTCTGTGTGTCCTGTACTCAGGACCCCTTCTTAGTCCCCGTGTCACCCATGAGCCTCCAGAGATAAGTGAGAGTCTTCATATCACAGAGGAGGGGGCAGAGGCTCAGCCAGGGTCCGTGATTTGTCCCAGGTCTCAGAGCAAGTGGCAGAGCTGGGATTTGGACTTAATTCTGATCCTAGAGCTCTCACATGTGCTCCACAAAAGTTTTTGGTCACTGGGGCTGGAGAGATAGCACAGCAAGTAGGGTGTTTGCCTTGCACGTGGCCGACCCGGGTTCAATTCCCAACATCCCATATGGTCTCCTGAGCACTGCCAGGAGTAACTCCTGAGTGCATGAGCTGGGAGTAACCCCTGAGCATCGCTGGGTGTGACCCAAAAAGCAAAAAAAAAAAAAAAAGAAAGAAAAGTTAAGTTTTTGGTCACTAATTCTCTCACCGACCTGGGCCGGTTCACCCCTCCTTAGGCAACCTGGTGGTCCTCCGCTCCCGGAGGGTCACCATATTGATGCCGAACTTAGTACGGACACCCGATCGGCATAGCGCACTACAGCCCAGAACTCCTGGACTCAAGCGATCCTCCGGCCTCAGCCTCCCAAGTAGCTGGGACTACAGGCGCGCGCCACCACGCTGGGCTGGAGCGATAGCACAGCGGGTAGGGCGTTCGCCTTACAAGCAGCCAACATGGCCAAACCCGAGTTCGATTCCTCCGCCCCTCTCGGAGAGCCCGGCAAGCTACCGAGAGTATTCGATATGCCAGACACAGTAACAACAAAGTCTCCAATGGAGACGTTACTGGGCCCGCTCGAGCAAATCGACGATCAATGGGAGGGCCTTTACTTTACTTTTAATTCTCTCACCAAACATATTCCGTTCTTCCTCATATGTATGGTAAGACTGATCTTTCTTATACAATAAGATCCCTCTCTGGAACCAGAGTGATACTATAGCGGCTAGGGCATTTGCCTTGCATGCAGCCGACCCGGGTTTGATCTCTGGCACCCCATATGATCCCTGAGCACCACCAGGAGTAATTCCTGAGTGCAAATCCAGGACTAACCCCTGAACATTGCCAGGTTATGACACAAAAAGACAAAATAAATAAGTTAAAAAAAAAAAAGATTCCTCTCTGGCCAGTGAAATGTGGGCCAAAGTGGTGATTATCATTTCAAAAGGAATTGGTAATAGCCTGTGATCACAGTCATAGTCCATTTGTTCTCTAGAAGTTATAGAAACAGAATAAAAAGGGAGGTTGGAGAGATAGTACAGCAGGTAGAGTGCTTGCCTTGCATGTGGCTAACCCAGGTTTGATCCCAAACATCCTGTATGGCCCCCCAAGCCCTGCCAGGAGTAATTCCTGAGTGCAGAGCTGGGGTAAACCCTGAGCATAGCTAGGCGTGGCCCCCAAAATAAGCAAGAAATTAAAAACAGAGAGAGAAAGAGAGAGAGAGAGAAAGAAAGAAAGAAAGAAAGAAAGAAAGAAAGAAAGAAAGAGAGAAAGAAAGAGAGAGAGAAAGAGAGAGAGGGACAGAGGGAGGGAGGGAGGAAGGGAGGGGAGGGAAGGGAGGGAAGGAAGGAAGGAAGGAAGGAAGGAAGGAAGGAAGGAAGGAAGGAAGCAAGCAAGCAAGCAGAAAGGAGGAAGAGAAAGATAAAGGATGGAGAGAAAGAAAAGAAAGAAGGTAGGGATAGAAAGAAAAGAAGGAAGAAAGAGGAAAGTAGAAAGAAAGGAGGTAGAGAAAAGGAGGGAGAGAAAGAAAAGAAAGAAGAGGAAGGGTGGAAGAGGAAGTAAGGGAGAAAGAAAGAAAGAAAGAAAGAAAGAAAGAAAGAAAGAAAGAAAGAAAGAAAGAAAGAAAGAAAGAAAACGAAGAGCTGTCCTCAGCCCAGGTGCCTGCGAACAGCCAGTGTCCCTACAGACCCGTCCCTCCACCGCAGCTGACCTGAGAGACTATCAGATCAGAGAGAAAACCTTGTGGGTTTTGTTGGTTTGTTTGTTTGCCCAGAGCCGAACCCAGCAGTGCCCAGGCTCTCTCTGTGGGCCTAAGAGAAGTCGCTCTTAGTAATGCTCGGGGGAACCATATGTTGTGGTGCCGGGAATTGAACCTGGGTTTCTTCACCTGCAAGCACTTGGCTTGCGGTCCTATCTCTCGGGCCCCAGAACCTGGGTCAGTTTTAAGACTTTAAGATTTGGTGGCTGTTCCTACAGCATCACTGGGTGTTTCTCAACCATGGTCGCCTTCTGAATACCCTGCGAAATGACAGGGAAGGTCGCAGGACCCCAGGCTGAGAAAAACTGGCCTGGTCTAACCATCCTGACTCATTCACTGCTCTACCATTTCATGTTGATCATTCTTGATCCTCCAAGCCTCTCGTCTCCCCAGAACTTCCTGAAAACCTCAGCTACACGCCCAAATCTGTGAAGCAACAAAAAAGGAAGTGGGTCCCCTAGACAGAGAAGCGGGGATGGGGTGGTGTCCATGCTGTGGGGCGGGGTCATGCGGGATAAAATCGGTGCTCATAGGGCTGCATGATAGCACAGCAGGTAGGGAGCTTGCCTTGCGTTCAATCCCTGGCACCCTGAAACTCTGCCAGAAGTGATCTCTCAGCACAGAGTCGGGACTATGCCCAGAACACAGTTGAGTGTGGCCTCAAAACCAAAAATGAAAAAAAAATCGACGGACCCCCAGCCCTGGATAGACACTGCCCCGCAAGCCTCTTTTCCTCTCTGAATTTATTCTGCGATCTTTAAGTGCTATTCTCCGTTAGCAAAGAGAGAATTACTGAGCTGACAGGAGGGCTGACGGGGAGATCGGTGCCCCAGATCCGGGGGGCACTGCAGGCTGACTATGACCTTGCAAGCCTGGATCTGAACATCCTCCTCTGGGTGGATGACCAGGGCGAGTAGTCGGTCGGCCAGGCGTGAGTTAGCCCCAAAGAGCGCTTCGTGCAGAGACTGTTCGTTGTAGTGCCACTTGACAGCTCGGTAGTGAGGGGAATTCCGGCCCTCGCTCAGCCGCTCGGCAAACACCAGGATCTCATATAACAGATTCGCGGGGCGACAGCACTGAAAAAGGTTCAGGAAGGTGGGGTGCACCTGAGGAGGGACAGAGCAGGTGTGAGAAGACTGCTAAGGTGGCCTCTACAGTTCCGCTTCTCCCAGCAACCTAACAGACCTCAACTCCTGCTTCATGACGCAAAAGAATTATTTCAGGGTCCATTCTCCAGGAATTATTTCATTTTCTTTTTATGACCATTCTCGAACATCATGTTTGATTTTTTTTCACTTTTTTTAATGTTTTTTTTTTCTGTCACACCCAGCAATGTTCAGGGGTTACTCCTGGCTCTGCACTCAGGAATTACCCCTGGTGGTGACCCTATGGGATGCTGGGAATCAAAGCCGGGTCAGCTTCGTGCAAGGTAAATGCCCTACCCACTATACTATCTCTTTGGCCCTGTCTCGAACATCATTGCACTGTGGCGTGATCTACTAATAACAATTCCAAGACTTTTGTTGACATCAACTTGAAGGCCTAGCATGTGGCTGAGTTTTAGAAATACTTTGTGTGTGCAAGAGAAATGTACACTTATGGAGTCCTAGGTATGTTTTTGGAGGGTTTTGTTTTTGTTTGGGGGCATCCACCACACACCTGGCAGTGCTTAAGTGTACTTAATGGTTGGGGGTTGCTCGTGGCGGTGGGGGAGGGGTGTTGGACACTGAACCTGGGACTCTCGCACATAAAGCAATTGCTTCAGCTCACTGAGCCTTGCTCTGGCCCTGTTCTAGGTGTGTTTAATAGCTCAACCTTATTTGTGATTTCTCTTTTATCCTCACTAGTTTGCTTTTCTGTTTGGTTTGAATTTGGGGACATGCTCAGCAGTACTCAAGGGAGGCTCTCAGTTCAGTGCTCAGGAAGATGCTCCTGGCAGAGCTTGAAGACCAGGTGGCGCTGGGTTCAAACCTGGGCTCCTCTATGCAAAGCATCTTTTACAGCCCTTAGAGCTGTCCCTCTGGTCTCAGGCCTTACTAGTTTTAGGCTTTGATTTGTGAACTGCTGAAAGAAGACTTTAAATCTTGCCAATCTCCCGCTGTTATAGTAGCTCTATAAATTTTAACTGAAAACTATTCAGTTCTGAAAAAGAAGGGAATTATGCCATTTGCACTAATACGGATGCACCCTGAGGACATTGTGCTAAGTGTAATAAATCAGACAGGGAAATGTATTAGATGGCATCGTTTACATGTGGAATTTAAAAATAAATAAACAATCTGAAACAACCCAAGTGCCCAAGAACAGATGACTGGATTAGGAAACTATGGTACATCTACACGATGGAATACTATGCCGCTACCAGGAAAAATGAAGTCATCAAATTTTCTTATAAATGGATGAACAGGGAGTATATCTTGCTGAGTGAAATGAGTCAGAGGGAGAGGGACAGACATAGAATGTGTAGGATAACATTGGTTGTGAGCGATAGCACAGCGGTAGGGCGTTTGCCTTACAAGCGGCCAACGTGGCCAACCCGAGTTCGATTCCTCTGCCCCTCTTGGAGAGCCTGGCAAGCTACCAAGAGTATCTTGCCCACACAGCAGAGCCTGGCAAGCTACCCATGACGTATTCAATATGCCAAATACAGTAACAAGTCTCATGATGGAGACGTTACTGGGCCTGCTCGAGCAAATCAATGAACAACGGAAGGACCATGAACATTGGTTGTCCTTTCTCCCTTGCTACAGAGAGCTTAGGTTTTTCGGGTGATACCCATCACAGTGCTCCTGAAGCACCGCCATTTCTCTGTGTTTATTGGAATGTAGCTCTAAACATTTTAGGATGATATTGGTATGTCCTGTTTCCCTTGCCACAAGGAACTAAGGTTGATTACAGTGCTCCTGAGGCACTTCCATTTCATTGTGTTTATCTGTAAACTCTTCCCTATGCTCTCCTCCCCAACCAGCTTTACCCCTAATCAGACTCTGTTAACCTGTAATGTCAGATTCCTCAGAGATCTATGATTGTATATGTATGAGTGAAATATTGCCTTTCTCCTCTCCTTACATCTTTTGAATAGCTTACTTTTTTTTTTTTTTTTTGCTTTTTGGGTCACACCTGGCGATGCTCAGGGGTTACTCCTGGCTTTGCGCTCAGGAATAACTCCAGGCAGTGCTCAGGGAACCATATGGAGTGCTGGGAATCGAACCTGGGTCGGCTGCGTGCAAGGCAAATGCCCTACCTGCTGTGCTATCACTCCAGCCCCATTGGATAGCTTACTTTAAAGCAATGTCCTTTTTGTATAGATACAGGAAGACAGTTAATGTTATGTTTTTGTAACTTGGGATTTAATTGGCTTCGAATATTATTCACTCCTGGGCATCTGCTTTCTCAACTTAAGCCTCAGTTGCCCTCAGTTCCTGGCACCCCAAAAGCAAGATCCCAACAAGGGACTGAATGGACCCAGGGCAAGCTGTGAGCTACCCTGGCATCTAAATGGGCCAGGCCAAAGTGCCACAATACTCAACTATAAGTTGAGAGCTTGGTCATGGACAAACGCTGTCATGATCCACAAAGTAACGACGAGATTAGGACCCTGCTAGGGATAGGAAAGACTAATCTGGCCTGAGCACTGTAGTCTGAGATTGTGATGACCCCAGGAAAGCGATTCTATAAGCTTACTGTATCTCTTACTGTATCCATACAAAATGATTAATATTATGAATGCTTATATGTTTGTTGGACAAGGAAAGGAGAAACACATCCATGGGATTCCACTCTTGGGTGGGTCGTCCTGCTGAGAGAGTATCTGTCCTAGAAGCATCCCCTGAGGGAAAGAACTTTACCCCTATTGATTGTGACCACAACTATGTGTAAGCCCCAACCCCTCATGGGGTGGGGGGACAGGGGGATTTAACTGGACTGTAAGAGTGGATTGGGGGGCTGGAGAGACAGCACAGCGGGTAGGGCGTTTGCCTTGCACGTAGCCAACATGGACGACACAGGTTCAATTCCCAGCATCCCATATGGTCCCCTGAACACTGCCAGGAGTAACTCCTGAGTGCAGAGCCAGGAGTAACCCCTGTGCATCGCCGGGTGTGACCCAAAAAGCAAAAAAAAAAAAAAAAAAGAGTGGATTGGGGGATCCAGACTTCAGAAGGAGAAGGAGAAAGGGGATCCAGATTCCAGGGCCAGAAGGAGAATAAAGGGGAATTGAGGAGGAGAAAGAAGTAGCATGGGAGAGGAAGAAGCAAGTGGAGAATCAGAGGAGAATGGAGAGGAAAGTGGAAAAAACTGCAACTGACACCAACCAACCTGGCCCTCGTTCCTTCCTTCGCCTGCCCATTGCCATCGACCTCCCTGGGGTGAGGGAAGCAGCCTGAGACTACCAAATGCAGGCGGCGGGAGAGACAGAGCCACTGCCGCCCCCCTACCCTTTTTGTGTTTACACAGAATGACTGCACTCATTTTTGGAATATAAAAACACATAGTATGGGACTAATACCTAAGGACAGTAGAAACAAGGGACAGGAGGACTGGCCTATGGTTGGAAACTTGCCACAGGTGGGTGGTTGATAGGACAGTTAGGACAGAGATGGGATTACTACAACAATGAGAGTCAGGAATGGTCACAAACTGTGTGCTGAAAAGAGGTACAGAGATAAACATGATAATGTCGCAGTATCTGTATTGCAAACCATAATGCCCAAAAGGGGGGATGAGAGGGAGGAAGAGAGAGAGAAAGTGAGACAGAGAGAGATAGGGACAGAGAGACAGAGACAGACAGACTGAAACAGAGACAGAGAGAGAAAAAAGTGTTTGCTACAGAGGCAGACTGGGGGAGGCTGAGGGGAGGGAAACTGAGGCCATTGGTGAGGGAAATGTGCAGTGGTGAAGGGATGAGTGTTGGAACTTTGTAGGATTGAAACCAAATCATGGGGCTGGAGTGATAGCACAGCAGGTAGGGTGTTTGCCTTGCACGGGCCAACCCGGGTTGAGTCCCAGCATTCCATATGGTCCCCTGCGCACTGCCAGGAGTGATTTCCTGAGTGCAAAGCCAGGAATAACCCCTGAGCATTGCCAGGTGTGACCAAAAAAAAAAAAAAAAAGAAACCAAATCATGAACAACTTTGTAACTGTGTGTATTATGGTGATTCAATAAAAAATAAAATAAAATATTTTAAAAATACATAAGTAAATAAGCCAAACTTATAGAAACAAAATATAGTACAGATTGTAGGAGCAGTGGGTAATAGAGGAAGTAGCCTGGGAACACTTATCTATGAGAACAAATTCTGAGGAACTAAGGTAGAAAGTGCCAACTATAGCGATAACAGTGTATTACACAATTGAATATACTGAGATAAAAATTACATGTACACATTGCCAACCCCGGTTCAATTCCCAGCATCCTATATGGTCCCCTGCGCACCGCCAGGAGTAATTCCTGAAATTCCTGACTGCAGAGCCAGGAGTAGCCCCTGTGTATCTCCAGGTGTGACCCAAAAAGAAAAAAAAAATTACGTGTACTCATAAATAAATGGGGCTGAAAACCTTCCCCAGTCTGTACATATTTCAAACCACCACAATGGAAACTTGAAGTCTCTTATAATTCCATATTATGTCAGCCTATCTTAATAGAGCTGAAAACTTCTCCTTACACAAATTTTGCCATGTCTCAATATTGTTGAGATTACGTTATTACGTACATATAAATTTCGAGTTGCTTTTCCCTTCTGAGTCAGCAATTGTGATGTAATGACCTTATCTACCCCTAATGATGAGCGTTACGGCAAGTCAGTTTCTCCTAATATTAAAATATCCACATAGACTGGAGTGATGGGACAGCGGATAGGGCACATGCCTTGCACCCAGCTGACCTGAGTTTGGAACCTGGAATCCCAATATGTTCTCCCAAGCCCTCCAAGAGTGATCCCTGAGCACAGAGTGAGGAGCAAGGCCCATAAATAGCCAGGTGTAGCCCAAACAAAAACAAACAAACAAACACATCTAGATAACTGTTGTCTCCTGTGTGTTTAACACTGCATTTGGAAGAACTCTCAAAGGAGAATTTTCCTTCTACTAAAAAAACAGAAAGGGTGAGGACAGAGTCGGTGTGTGTGTGTGTGTGTGTGTGTGTGTGTGTGTGTGTGTGTGTGGCGGGGGTGGAGGTGTTCAATATATCTGGTTCCAGAGGAAGAGGAACAAGACGGTTTTGTCTAGGTGAGTTTATCTGGAGCATCCATGATTTTCCTCCTCCCCAGGTAAAATTCTCGTGTTCCTTCCTCACCTGGCAGTTGAGAATATCATAGAGAAGGTCTTCCTTCTGCGCCAGCAAAGTCAGCAGATGGATGGCTTGTATCTGAATAGAGGGAGGAGGAAAGCATGAGAAGGCGGGTCAGCTGGGTGTCCTCTGGGAAGGGGCAAACCTCTGCCTTCACACTGGGCTCTGCACTGGGGCAGGGCCGGGTCCCTGGGCACCTGGGCCGTGGTATAGTCTGACTGCACGATCTCCATCAAGGCAGGCATCACCCGTCGGAGTTGTGGATGAACAAACTCGGGCACTGGGACGTTGTTGAGGAGTCTGAGGCCTGAGACGTGTAACTCTGAGTCCCAGATAGTAGAAATCAGTTCTAGTATCTTGATGAAATGTTCCTGGGGTGGGGGAGAGGGAAGAAAAGAATCTTTTCTTATAGGGTGATCTCCAACACTGTCCTCTATTTTCACTCTTCGTGATCCTCTTAACAATTATTTTCAAATATATTTGTACTTGTTGCATTGGGGGGCGGGGAGGTGGAGGCAGGAATGCAATTCAGGGCCTCATACACACAAGGCAACTGTTTGACCATTGGGCCATCCCTCCCCTGCTCCAACCCCTTCATTATCCTTCCCCCAAAACCATGAGACAACCCAGTAGACCATCCCCCTAACTTAAACCTGCCAGCATTTTTAGACCTATTTAATTATGTCTATCTCCGTGAATTATTTCTTCACTTGTCTTCTTTTTCATGACTTTTCTTTTGTGGTTCCTCTGCCCAAACTTTTCTCTCTTTTAATCATGTCCTGAAGTGGTAGGATCTGGACTCAACAGTATTAAAGGCTGACGACTTTAGAATTTCCATCTCCCTGGGACTGGAGCGATAGCACAGTGGGTAGGGCGTTTGCCTTGCACGCGGCTGAACTGGGTTCGATTCCCAGCATCCCAAATGGTCCCCCAAGCACCACCAGGAGTAATCCTGAGTGCAGAGCCAGGAATAACCCCTGAGCATCTCTGGGTGTGACCCAAAAAGCAAAAAAAAAAAAAAATAGAATTTCCATCTCCAGGAGCCAGAGTGATAGTACAGTGGGCAGAGTACTTGCCTGGGTTCAATCTTCAAACTTAATCAATTAAAATTTCCACCTCCAGCTAAGACCTTTCTTTGGACACCAGACTCATACTCAGGTGCCATGTTGTCTTCTCTCCCTACAGTGAAAAGTGTGGCCTCACAGAATTAACATGCTCCCCACCCCAGATTCATCCCTCCACCACCTTCCCCATCTCAGTTTTCCAACTCCTCTGGCCCCAGCTTCTTCTTCACTTTTATTGAATTATGGTGTGAAATATGGTTGCAAGTGGTTCATGACTGAGTCTCTGTCATACAGTGTTCCAACACCCATCCCTTCACCAGTGCACATTTCCCACCACCAGTGTCTCCAGTTTCTCTTCCACCTGCCTCCCCCTGCAGCCTACCTCTATGACAGACACTTTTCTTTTCTCTGTCTCTGTCTCTCTGTCTCTGTCTCTCTGTCTCTTCCCCTCTCTCTCTCTCTTCCTCTCTCTCTTTCTCTATCCCCCCCTTTTTCCTTTTAGACACTGTGATTTCCAATATTTTTATGAGAACAGTATCATGCATATCACTTTAGCTCCTTCCAGCACTCAGTTCTTTCCCAGAACAATCATTTCCAACTCTTATTGTCATAGTGGCCCCTTCTCTGTCCTCACAGCCTTCCTGCTGGGGCCCTCCTTGGCTGCTGTCATGCCTTCAACCTTTCCTAGTCCTTCAGAAAGCCCCACCAGTCCTGTCTTCAGAATCCTCCACCCCCTTCTCCCCATCGATGACCACCTGACTTCCACAGCCTGGCTGCAAGTCACCATCCTCTCCCTCTGGCATTTCTGCACAGGTTTCTGACTTCCTACGTGCATGTCTCTCCCAGCCCCACATCTGTTTCTGAACAGCTGGTTGATTAGGTATGTCCTTCCTCTGCTCAAGAGTTCATACATCCTGTATAGTCTGATCTGGCTACCCCCACAACCCGCTTCCATCAAGGCGTTCATGGGCTCCCACGGGTTCCCTTCCTAAGGGCCTCATGTCTCTTCCTCTTTTTTTTTCTTTTTGGGTCACACCCAGCCGATGCTCAGGGGTTACTCCTGGCTCTGCACTCAGGAATCACTCCTGGCGGTGCTTGGGGGACCATATGGGATGCTGGGAATCGAACCCGGGTCAGCCGTGTGTAAGGCAAACGCCATACCCGCTGTGCTATTGCTCCAGCCCTCATGTCTCTTCCTTGAGCAATGCCAGGCACACACCTTTCCACCTTCCTTAGGTTTCTACAGGGTGTTCCCCTCAGAATGCTTCAAGACTGCCTTAATATCTACCCCCTTCTCCCTGAGATTTCTCTCTCTCTCTCTCTCTCTCTCTCTCTCTCTCTCTCTCTCTCTCACACACACACACACACACACACACACACACAACTCCCATTCCACTTTGTTTGTTTTGGGGCCACACCGGCAGTACTCAGGGCTTATTACTCCTGGCTCTGTGTTCAGGGATCACTCCTCCTGAGACCATATATGGTGCCAGGATGGAACCCTGTTCAGCCACATACAACATACCATAAATTCTGCAGTGTCTTCCCCGGCCCCACGATTCCATGTCCTTATTTTCCTGTTTGCACTGATACCTGGAACTCACCTTTGAGCTATTTTAGAATAATTATAAATTTCCAGAAAGTTACACAAAAGTAGCCCAGGAAGGTCAGGTACACTCTCTTCCACATTTCCCTCAGTTTACCCTTGACATCATCATTGTATGATCATAATGTATAGTTACATAAATACATTATTGACTCTAGAGAACTGTTTGTTTTGTGGTCATGCCCAGCAATGCTCCGGGCTTCCTCCTGGCCTCATATTCCTGATTGGGGGACCGGGGAGCCACATGCAATGTCAAGAATAGAACGGGTCAGCTGTGTGAAAAGCAAGCACCTTACCTACTGTACTATCTCTCCAGCCTAAGAACTTTTATATAAATATATCAAGCAAGGACACTGGAATTTGTATAAAGTGTGTCTAGTTCTGTGCCACTTTGTCACACCTGTAGGTTTGTGTAGTCACCACTGCAAAGGACAGAAAAGGCCATCAGAAATGTCGCCTCTCCACAGAGGTCTCCCTTATGGGACCCCTGTTTTACATGCTTGCCCCTTTCCAGCCTTAACCGTCTACACCTCTCATCCATTTTTTTTTCTTTTTGAGTCACACCTGATGATGCACAGGGGTTACTCCTGGCTCATGCGCTCAGGAATTACTCCTGGCTGTGCTCGTGGGATCATATGGGATGCTGGGAATCAAACCTGGGTTGGCCACGTGCAAGGCAAATGCCCCACCCACTGTGCTATCGCTCCAGCCCCTCTCATCCATTTTTCAATTCTAAAAATTTGTCACATTGAAATGGGAATCATACTTCCTTTTTTTGGGGGGGGGGGGGGTCATGCCTGGCAATGTTCGGGGGGTCACTCCTGGCTCTGCACTCAGGAATCATTCCTGCTGGTGTTCTAGGGGATATATGAGACTTAGAGATCACACCCGAGCTGACCTTGTTCAAGGCAAGTTCCCTAGCCACTGCGCTATCTCTCTAGCGCCCAAAAAAATCATACTTCCTGGCCTTCTGCAATGGACTTTTCCACTCAGGATAGTGACCCTGGAGATGCTCCCCTGTTGTTTATTCCTTGTAATTGCTGAGTGCTGACCTGTGGCATAGATGTCCCACCACTTGTTTGCTCAGACACTTTCGGTTGTTTCTCTGTGGGGACTATTACAAGCAAAGCTGCTATGAACAATTGTGACCAGGTTCCCGCACAAATGTATGTTTTCATTCCTCTAGGATAAATGCCCAGGAGTGTTACTACTGGTTTGTATGGCAAATAGCAGCTAGTTCTTTAAGAAAAGGCTGGACTGGGAGCTGAAGCAATAGCACAGCAGGTAGGGCATTTGCCTTGCACGCGGCCGACCCGGGTTCGATTCCCAGCATCCCATATGGTCCCCTGAGCACCACCAGAAGTGATTCCTGAGTGCAAAGCCAGGAGTAACCCCTGAGCATTTGCCAGGTGTGACCCAAAAAGCAAAAGAAAAAAAATGGCTGGACTATTTGCCCAAATGACTCCTGTAGTGTTTCAGATTCCCACCAGCAATCTAAAAGAGATCCAGTTTCTCTACATCCTCACCAAAATTTGGGAACATCACTAATTTTGAGTTTAGATGATATAATGGCAGAGACGGGGCATATAGACCTTACTGAGGTCTTACTTTGCATTTCCTAATGTTAAAGCATCTTTATTGGGGCTGGAGCAATAGTACAGGTAGGTAGGGTGTTTGCCTTGCACGTGGCTGACCCAGGTTCGATTCCCAGCATCCCATATGGTCCCCTGAGCACCGCCTGGAGTAATTCCTGAATGCTGAGTCAGGAGTAAACCCTGTGCCTTGCCGGGTGTGACCCCCCCCAAAAAAAACACAAAAAACATCTTTATTGGGTGGGGGAGAAGGGGTGGCCTGTGGAATTAAGTCATACCTGCTTATGCTCAAGGCTCACTCTGGGCTCTGGGCTCAAAGGTCACTCTTGTTGGTGCTTCAGGGATCATGTGTGGGCTTGAGAATCGAAACCAGCATTGGCCACACTCAAGGCAGGTGTCTTATCCCCTGGACTATCTCTCTGGTTCCAAGATTTTCTCCTTTGATATTATAGTTCACCTCTATGTCCACCTTTATTCTTCCCATCTTAATTTTATTCCATAGCACGTCATGGGAAACTCATTTATCTTTCTAATTTCTGCATAGCCTCCCTTGCTCTGCTAAAATACAAGTTTCAATGCACATTTGTTAAATAAATAAAGCAACCTTGGCTTCTGCCAGGTGCTTGGACTAAAGGCAGGTAACTTCATAAGCTGTCTTTTTTTGTGGCACACGTAAGAGTGAGACAGTGATCCAGGAGCTGGATCCCAGCATTTCCACTAGAACACTGCTCCCCCCCCCCCCCCACCTCCCCGCTGTCCACACTGCTCTGCTGAAACAGGCCAGCAAGCCCTGGGCAGGATTTCAGGTCACGAGGCCAGAGAGTGAGAGAGTTTGAACCAAGTGTAAATGGCTCAGGTTGGGGCTAGGAGGTGGGGTTGATCATGCATTCATTTATTTTTGTTTATATTTTGGTTTGGGGGCCACATCCAGTGATGCTCGGGGCTTATTCCTGGCTCCGTGCTCAGGGATCAGACCCAGAGGAGCACATGTGGTGCCAGGGATCAAACCAGGGGTGGCTGTGTGCAAGGCAAACACCTTCCCGCCTATACTATCTCTATTGCACCCCCTCTCAACTCCACAGACACCCCCACTCCACCCCACCCTGCTGGAGCACTTTGAAGAGGCCCACACAGAGGCTGATGAGCCTTAGGGCAAGGCGGCTGGTGCGGAGACTGGGGTCAAGTCCATTTGAGACTGGGTAAGAGCCTCTAGGCAGTGGAAGTGAACCATTTAGTCTGAAGGTCAGAGGAGCCCCCGGGCTGCGGACAGACACCCAAAAGAGCACCTTTAGATGGAAAGTAAACTGGAGAGTGACTACCTTCAGCTTTCATCCCAGAGAGAATGGGATGAAGGACACTGGGGAAAGGCAGAACCCAGGCAGCAGGCTGTCCTCCTGTTGAACTGGGTTACTCGGGTAGGGCAGTCTTCGTTGTCAGCTAGCTGCCTAGGTAAAAACCACACACTTGGTTGTGGGAAACAAAGCCTATAGCTTGAGCCTATTACTCAAGGACAGTGGAAATGAGGGCCAGGAGGACTGGCCCACAGTTGGAAGCTTGCCACAAGTCGGGGGTAGGGCTAGAGGGGGCAGTTGGGATAAAGAAGGGGCCACTATGACAATGGGCTGGAGCGATAGCATAGCAGGTAGGGCGTTTGCCTTGCACGCAGCCAACCTGAGTTGATTCCTCCACCCCTCTCGGAGAGCCCAGCAAGCTTCTGAGAGTATTCCGCCCGCACAGCAAAGTCTGGCAAGCTCCCTGTGGCATATTCAATATGCCAAAAACAGTAACAACAAGTCTCACAATGGAGACGTTACTAGTGCCCGCTCGAGTAAATTGATGAACAACAGGAGGACAGTGCTACAGTGCAGAGCTACTATGACAATAAGCCTTGGAAACGATCGTCCTGGGCAAGAACTGAGTGCTGAAAGGAAGTAAAAGAATATACATATATGATAAACATTCAGTGGGGCTGGAGTGATAGCACAGCGATAGGACGTTTGCCTTGTGCGCAGCCAGCTCGGCCGAGCCGGGTTCAATTCCTCCTTCCCTCTTGGAGAGTCTGTCAAGCTACCGAGAGTATCTCGCCTGCACGGCAAAGCCTGGCAAGCTACCCGTGACGTATTCAATATGCCAAACACAGTAACAACAAGTCTCAAAATGGGAGACCGTTACTAGGCCCCCTCAAGCAAATCGATGAACAACGGGAGGGCAGTGTTTGTTTTGTTTGATAACTGTTCAGTACCTGCATTGGAAACCATAACTCCCAAAAGGAATCAGAGGGAGAGGGAGCAGGAAAAGTTCCTGCTTGCCCTATGTAGAGGCAGACTTGGGGGTAGGGAGGAAGCAAAAGGGGAATGGAAGAAGGGAAAGTGGGGACATGTGGTGGGAAATGCACACTGGTGAAGGGAGGGCGTTGGAACACTGTATGGCCAAAATCCAATCATGAACAACTTTGTAACTGTGTATCTCACAATGATTTAATTATAAAAAAAAAAAAAAAGGAAAAACCATCAACATGGTTGGGAATCACTGCCTTAGGAAAACTAAGGGGACCTTGAGGTGAAGAAGAGGCGGCCAATAAGTGCAGGCCTAGCGACCTTTTTTTTTTTTCTAAAAGTTTGATGCCAAAAAATTGAATTGTACAAATATCAAGCAGCGGGAGGTCTCAGGAAGTGCTGCTGGGGGCTAGAAATAGATGCGTGCCTTCTTGCAAGGTGGGACAGCCCCATGGGCCTCTGCAGCTCAGAGCCCACGCCGGTGGGCACGCCCTGGAGCGACCCCGCACCCCCGCCGGAAGCTTCGAACCACGTGGGCACGGGAAACGGAAGTAACCGATGCCCACGCATGCGCAAAAGGGTGACCAACATGGCGGCCTGCACCTGAGCTCACGTGCTCCATGCAGCGAGGAAGGAAACAGCCCCTGGCATCGCTAAGGAGGCACTTTCTGAGTGGAGGTTCAAGGCAAACCTCAGATTACGAACTCTATGTTTCAGTTCAAGATGTTTAAAAACGCCCCAGAGATATTTTGCCCAATTCACGTATATTCTCTGTTTTTCATTTTTTCCCCGGTTGTTATATGCAGGGATATGTGGATTCATGGTATAACTACAGTGAAAAATCAATGAACCAAGGCCGGAGAGAGAACAAGGTGGAGTGCATGCTTTGCATGTGGAAGGCCCGGGTTCCATCTCTTGCACCGTCTAGCACTGCAGAACAGTTCCTGAACACCACTAAGAAAGGCCCCCAAACACAAAAGTCAAACCCCCAAACACAAATAAGAGAAGTGACTTAATAACCTGGTGGACAGAAATGCTGGTTCCTGGTTTCAGAGGTTGGGATTGATTGACTTCATGTGATCAAGCTCTTCAAGCTCTCTTCATCTGAGTTCTGGTTAGGAATGTTTTTTTTTTCTTTTTTTTGCTTTTTGGGTCACACCCGGCAATGCACAAGGGTCACTCCTGGCTCTGCACTCAGGAATTACCCTTGGCGGTGCTCAGGGGACCATATGGGATGCTGGGAATCGAACCCGGGTTGGCCGCGTGCAAGGCAAACGCCCTCCCCGCTGTGCTATCGCTCCAGCCCCAGGAATGTTTTGTTTTAGTGTTATTTTTTTTTCTACTGTCCATATACATATTTGGGGGAGGACTTGGTGATTGGGCCACACTTAAAAGTGTTCAGGGACAACTCCCAAGCTGGTGGTGATAGGGGAGGGAGGTGTGGTTTGCTTCTCAGATCCAGGGATCATATGGTATTGGGGATGGAATCTGAGTCAACCATGTGCAAGGCAGGTGTTTTAACCCTTTGTACTATCTTTCTGCCCCCAATGTTTGTAAATTTTATTTTTGAAAAATTTGGTGGGGGAGGGTGGGCCACATCTACTGATGCTCAGGGCTTACATCTGGCTCTGTGCTCTGGGGTCACTTCTGGCAGGCTCAGGGAAATAAATTTGGGGTATGCTGGGGATCTTACCCATGGCACTATCGCCCTGCTGGTGCATTTTTTTTCTTTTTGGGTCACATCCAGTGATGCTCAGGGGTTACTCCTGGCTCTGCACTCAGGAATTACCCCTGGCGGTGCTCAAGGGACCATATGGGATGCTGGGAATCAAACCCACGTCAGCCGCGTGCTAGGCAAATGCCCTACCCGCTGTGCTATTGCTCCAGCCCTGCTGGTGCATTTTAAATGTTGATTTTTTTTTTTAATTTGGGAGAAATAGGGAATTTGTTCAAGGGAAAGTTGGAAGTCAAGGAAGAGGTCTTTTCTGACATAAGTGCAAAGGCATGGAACTTGCCAGAAAGGAAAGGGAAGGAGCTGGGAGAGCCCTTTCAGACAAAGGGCCTTAGGAAGAATGGGGTCCTAGACAGAGACTGACCCCAATTACAGACTGGAAGCACTGGCAGGAAACCAGGAAAGGATGGGTAAGGATACAGGTACCTTTGGCAGCAGAAGCAGGGAGGACTGACATTTGGGAGAGGAGGTTTCTCTACATAGTGGTAAAGAAGCCACCAGTGGCCCAGCTGCAGACCTCTGACCAACTCAGCATGGGGCAGTGGGGGTGGGCGGGGAAGTGATGATAAATGTTGAATCTTTATACATGATTCCAGGGCACAGTGCTTAACATTTCTTGGAATTTCCTGATAGACATGTCTTTTGGTTATTTATAGATAACAAAGGAATCACCTGATGTAAGTGCCTTTCCATCCCTGAGTTTATGCGAGTAAGGTGACCTTAGAATGCTTCCAGGTGGGGATTGGGGACCAGGAAGCCCAAGCAGGCTTAGAAGGCGGAGCTTGCAACATTCTCCCTTATGGCTGGGGAGAAAAGCGAATCATGGGGTCACTGAGTTAAAATCATCGAGGGCCAGTGACGAATCAGTCATGTCTACAGAGTGAAATGGCCATCAGCCCCCTGACAGAGTCCAGGGATTTCCCGTGCCCATAGCATATCTTCTTCCGTTTGGTGCCCCCTCTGTTGTATAACAAACCGCCAGTCCCCGAAATAGGTTTCTCCTGAGCTCGTTGGGTCGTTGTTAGTGAATTCTCAAGGAGTCATGGAAGGGGAAGGAGCCATGGAACCCGCCACCTGTCCAGCCGAGATGGACGGGGATTTGTGGGTTCTCTGCTAAGACCATGTGGACCATGTCAAGAGTGAGCTAGTTGGTATCTGAGAATCAGCTGGCGCCAGAACCTTCGGGGATGCTTCCTGAGGTTTGGGGTTCAGAGCTACTCTTTGCACCCGCATTCCATTTTCTCTTGACATTCAAAGGTTTTTATGATCCTGGGGCTCCAGTTGCCATTTCCAGCTGCTTATTTCCAAAGAAAAACCTGCTTTTGGGTCACCAACTCGGGCCCTTCTCGCCTATAATTCAGGCGCCTGATGATTTCCCCTCTTCCCCCAGAGGGGCTCATGGACCTGGGCAGCGGGTGGACTCTCCCCTGCCGCTTGTTCTGGTGCTCACCTGGATCTTAACCCTGAATTTCCTGATGCCCGAGAAAGCCTTAAGTGCATTCAGAGCCTGGATTTTGACACAGTTGTCCTTGTCATCCAGCATGCAGCCCACCAGTCTGATGTCATCATTAGAACAAGAGGCAGCCTAGAGTGTGCCAGAAGGAAGAAAAGAAGTCGGAGAAGCAGGCATCTTGGGTCCATTGCCCGCCCCGCCCCCACCCCCAAACTCCGGAGTTGCCAGTTACCCTTAGCGCAATCCCACCAGCAACCAGAGAGAGACCCGTCCTACCCCTGGGACACAGTCTGGTCGGTCAAGGGCGTTGGGGGAGGGGGGAATGTCACCCGGAGCTGTCAGTAGCCCCAGCCCTCACCTCAGCCTCCAGCAGGTACACACAGCGGGTGATGCTGTGCAGGATCATGCTCTTGGTGAACTCGTCGTGGTTGCACTCCAAGGAGTTGAGGAGCTTCCGGAGCTCGCCCGAGTCCCGCCCGAGCCGCTCTCGCTCCACGGCCAAGCCTAGAGGGCCATCGCCAGTCACCTCGGGCCGGGCACTGGGCAGCGAGGACAGAAAGCGGGCGGGGAAATGGGGGAGAAGAGCCCAGGGACACAGCTGCCATGGCCCTCCCTGAGAAGTCTTCGAGGCAGGACCTGACGCTGAGTTAAACGAAGTTCAACGAACCTCTTGCCCCAGCCCTGCCCTGTCCACGTCTCACACATCCGAGGGAGGAAGGTGGAACCCAGCAGCCTCCCGGCCTCCAGCAATACTCTGAGCCTTTCCTCCACACCCGCATGCACCAATGCAGTTCAGGCAGATGGAAATATAACAGAAGTGGAACCCGCCCCCCTCCACCCTTTTTGTTGTTTTTGTTGGGGTCGATGGTTACTCTCAGGACCTTACAGGTGTGAGACAAGTGTATCTCTGAGTCATGCCCTCATTTTAAAAATTTTTTAAATTTCAAAAATGGGGCCCCAGCAGGCCCTGGGCCCCCCCCTTTTTTTGATTTTTGCTTTTTGGGTCACACCCGGCGATGCACAAGAGTTACCCCTGGTTCATGCACTCAGGAATTACTCCTGGGACCATATGGGATGCTGGGAATTGAACCCGCTGTGCTATTGCTCCAGCCCGAAAAATTTTTTTTAATTTCAAAAATGGGGCCCCAGCCACGCCCTGGGGCCCCATTTTTAACCTGGCACCAACATGTTAGCTGCACACAGGGAGGGTCAGGGCCACTTGCCCTTGGGGAAAACCACCCATGTGACATTTTCCCAGGAGACCTTATCCCAGGTGCTGGGGTGAAGCTAGAATTTGGAGACGGGCCAAGGGGGTTCACAGACTCCACCTGAGTGGCACCCACTCCCCCAGGGCCCCTGGGCTGGTGTCTGTGGCCCTGGGGCCCGGTGTCTGAAAGAGGGAGAGACGCGACAGGGAAGCATCACCTTTGGGCCTTCCCATACTGGACACCTCGGGAGCAGGCTCCCAGGGGCTCCATCCCTCTCCCCAGGGACTGGGCACTCACGGGCAATGCAGACGGGAGAGTTGGAGAAGAAGGGAGGCTGACATCGTAAGCCAGTCTTGATGGCCTTGTAGCAGAGGTAGATGGCTCCCGCGCCCGTGACCACGCTCACTATCACTTTCCGGATGTCCAGTTGCTTCACACTTTCAGGGATACAAAAGCCCATATCTTCAAGTGCTGCCCGGTGCCCAGGTGGGAGCGAGGCCCGAGGCACCTGGGAAGGGCCTCCCGGAACTAGAACCCTGAGCACCGCCAACCAGGGTACCAGAATCGGAACCCCGGGCAACAAAGGGAACTGAGGCAATGATTGGGTGGCCAGTGTGTCCGAAGGCAGCAAGGTTTGGCTTTTGGGGCAGGCGGGTTGGAGGCCAAGATTTGAAGGGAGGGTGTTTTTCCTCCTCTCCTTTAGGGGAGCCAAGTCGGCAGGGCCCCGTGAGACTGCCTCTCCTCCGTTAGGGGGCAGCAGAGGCCCAATTTCTGGGTTAGGGCCCCCACGTCCACCCCCTCCCAGGGACCTGCCTCGGAGGGCACTTTAAGGGAGCGTCCTCGTGTCCCCTCATTCCCAGGGGCCACCTGTCTTTAATCGATTCCACAGAGATTGACTCCTGGGCTTCTGTGGGCTCAGTGCCCCCCCCCCCCCATCCTTCCAAGGAAGAACAGCAGAGAGGGCAGCTCAGTTTCACAGTGGCCAGGGCAAGTCTGTCACCCCCACCCCGCTGCCAGGGTGGCCGTCTCGGCAGTTCCAGCCCCTGGGGTGGAGGGTGCGCAGTCCCACGGGAGGGACAGGTTACGGGGCTCCAGGCCTGCCCTTGCTTGTCTTCCTGCATGAGTGATGGGGGTGGGGGCCATCTAGCTCTGGAACTCCAGGCTTAAGATGCGCACGCAGAGGAACCGAAGTGATTGTACAGCAGGCAGGGCGGTGGCCCACCCAGGTTTAATCCCCAGTGCCACGTATGGGACCCCAAGCACCACCTCCAAGTGTGACCTAAAAGCAAAAAAAAAAAAAGGGGGGGGGCTGGAGCAATAGCGCAGTGGGTAGGGAGGGCATTTGCCTTGCACGCGGCCAACCCGGGTTCGATTTCCAGTATCCCATATGGAATCATCCCTGAGCACTGCCAGGAATGATTCCTGAGTGCAGAGCCAGGAGTGACCCCTGAGCATCACCAGGTGTGACCCAAAAAGAAAAAAAAAAAAGATATACACAGGTCTGTCTGTTCCTGCCTAAATAGGGGGTCTTAAGCCTAGAGTCCCACCACAACCCTCCAGGCTGTTCACCCTTCCCCAAGCGGACAAGGATCCAGCCTGGAGGGCCTAATCCCACCCCTGAGATGGGGCGGGTGACACCAGACCCTTTCTTCTTCACCTTGAACACTCCCTGTGCCTGCATCCCCTCACTCAGCCTTGCCTGCTCCAGAACAGGGCTGAGCGTCACCTGCCTGGCTCTGAACTGGTAAGAAGCTGACCCAGGCTCTGGCCTGGGCTGCAGCTGGGCTATGTGGTTGTGTTGTTTTGCTCTGGGGCCACACCCAGTGGGTGGGACCTGAGGAACCAGACGTGCTGGGGATTGATCCAGGACCTCTGGCATGCGGTCTGCCCATTGAAATCAATCTCTCTCTCTCTCTCTCTCTCTCTCTCTCTCTCTCTCTCTCTCTCTCTCTCTCTCTCTCTCTCTCTCTCTCTCCCCCACCCTCCCTCCCTCTCCTTCCCACCCTTCCTCCCTCTCCCTCTTTCTCTCTGATTCTTCCCTGCAGCTGGGCTTGAGGGAGGTAGGGAAACAGGAAGTCAGCATTCGGGTTAAACTGAAGTCTTCACCTGCTCTACCCAGTCCACAAGAACCCCCCCCTGAGCTGACCACTGTCTTCCTGTCCTCTCTTTCAGCATCAGCCCTCCTCCTGGCTCTTCCTGTCACTCTGTCAAGTCCAGGGAGGGATGGGGGCCCACAGGGACTCCCTGCAGAGCACTTGATGAGTGGAGACCCCAAGGCCTAGCCACTGTCAAGGGACCGCCCCCCCAGTCCCCCCACATCCAATGAACTCCTGCAGGAAAGTACAGCTTGGAGTGGAGGTCTCCCTGGGGTGACTGCGGAGATATCCTTTAGAACAAGGTCCAGCCTTGGTCCTCTGGGTTGGGACCCTGAGCCAGTGGCCTCCTTGTCTGCCCCATGGGAGCTGACCACACCAGCCTCACATTCTAAGTAAGCAAGATGTATTTCCATTCTTTTTATTTTTAAAATGGGGGTGAGGTGGGAGTGAGGGTCACACCTGGAAGTGCTCAGGGCTCATTCGGGGCAGGCATCACTTCTGATGGTGCTTCGGTGACCAGGCGATTTGGTGTCAGGGTCTGACTTGATGCACCCTCCCCGCTGCACTCTCTGGCTCCTATGTGCCTGTTCTGTTTTTGGGGTTTGAGGCCACATCTGGCTGTGCTCAGGGCTTACTCCTGGCTCTGTGCCCAGGGGTCACTCCTTGTAGTACTTGAGGAATCATTGGGGGTGCCAGAGATCAAACCGGGCTCTGCTGCATGCCAAGTAAGTGTCTTATCTGCTGTCCTAGCTGTCTGCCCCCCCTGTGCCCTGTTCTTTAAAGACCTCCAAAGGCTCATCACTGTCTCTTGGTTTATAACCTCTGTCCGGCTGTATTTAAAGTTCTGTTGCATTTGGTTCTGCCTTTCAATGATTCAGAGGATAGGGCATGGTCTTCCCCATGTGTCATCTTTACTAGTGCACAGCATGAGGGGGAAAATAAAGACAGGAATGTCTCTACTGCTCCAGAATCAATGGCAGTCATTTGGAGGGCGGGGTGGGGGGGGGGTGGAGGGGAGAACGGCTGCTTTTGATTCAGTGTCTTTTCTTACTTAGAGAACTAAAACGCGCCTGGTCTGACGAAATGACGGTAATAATAGATGGTAGTTGTGTTTTGAAAGTTCTTAGGGAGCATAAACGAAAAGCTGCAACTCTTTATGGGAACTTGGCTTTTGTTTGTTTCTTGTTCTGCTTTTTTCGGTCAAATCCAGAAATCTGGAACGACCGGCTAGAGAACACTTCGATTATAAACACGCGCTGCCAGCCCTGATTTTCTTCCCTGGCCTCAGCAGAGGACGTGGACGCTCTGGCCAGCATCTCTCCTTGCCAACGGCACTCTGCACAGCGATGTTCTCCGTGGATTAGCTGCAGCTGAGCGTGTGCTGGCACTAGCCAGGCAGCAGGGTTCAAAACCAGTTCAGCCACTGACTTTGCCATTTTGTGCCTCATTTTCCCCACATAGAAAAGCGATAGTAATAATATGGGGGTGGAGGGATGAGGTGAGGTTTAAGTACCTGGAACGGTGCCAGCACACGCTTAACCCAAGGTCGAATATACTGTAATTGCTACTAAAAGTAGGTTTCATCTGGACTGAAAATATTGGTGCTCGAAGCCGGTGACCGTGACGGAAAAAGCAGAGGGTCTCAAAGAGGCCTGGGAGGTACTTAACTCAGCTCCCCCCTCACATACACCCATTCCCGGTCTTCCACTTCCCGGCCACCTTAGATGATCCTCGGGCCAGGAAACTTCAATCCTGAAAACCAGCCACTGAGCCGTTCTGAGCAACTTTAGAGTCTCTCTGAAGTACCCACCGCACCCCGAAACACGTAAAGCCTCCGGGTACCCCCATCCCTCTGAGCTCTAGTTCCTCCTACTCCCCCTCCAAGCTGTGAAACTCAAACCACCTCCACGTTACCACTGACTGCAAATCGGGCTAAGGAGGCTACGGGGCGGGAGGGGTGGGGGCCGGGCGGGGCGCGCGCTCCTGCCCATTCAGGTCCGGCGCGGCCAGCAGCCGCCCCGCGTCCCAGTGCCTAGGACGAGCTGTTGGGACTCCCGCTAGGCGGTTGACAGGCTCGCTGGCGTTCGACCGGCTCGGGAAAATTCCACCGGAGCCTCGGTTTCCTCCTCGGGACCCGGGCTCCGTGCGCACTTGAACCGTGCGCGCGGGGAAGCACCGCGCTCGGGATTGAATGGGAACGCGGGCGGGCTCGGACGGGGCGCACGGGGCGCGCGCTCCACAAGTGCCCCCTGCACGAGGCCAGAACGCAAAGCCTGGGAGGGAGGGGGGGGGGACACACGGACGCCAGGCAGCCTGAGCCGGGACACTGATCCCACTCTCTCCCCCGAGACCGTCCCCTCCCCAGCCCGCGTTAACCCCCGCCGTGCCGGGAGCCCAGATCCCCCGGGGCGTCTCCGGAGCTCGTCCCTCCGCCGCGGGCGCGGGGACCGGAGGAAACTAGGCAACCGTCCCGGGAGCGGCGGGGGGCGGCCCCCCCCCTCCGAGGAGCAGGACCGCGGGGGCCGGGCGGAGGCCGCGCCTTTCCCCACCCCGGGCCTTCCCCGGCTCCCCCTCCCGCACCTCCTCCCCCCGCGCGCATCCGGCGGCGGGCACAGGATGTTCTTTCGCTCCGTTCCCCCACCCCCCGCCCCCGCTCTCACTTTCCCTTCGCTCCCCTCCCCCACCCCCGCCGCGCCCGGCGCCGGCACCTAATTTAACTCCTTCTTTCCCGCGCTCCGCGGCGCCCGGCCGCCCCCGGAGATTTCGCCTCTCCCCCCCCCCCTTCTCCCCTCCCCGCTTCCCGCCCACCGTCCAGGGCGCAGCCCGAGGGCTGTCCGGGAAGGGGCGGGCCTGGGCTCAGCGCCGGGCCCCGGATCCTTCTTCAGCGGGGTCGGGGGGGAAAAGGTGGAGAGGGGGGGTTCCTAGGAGCGAGACCCGCGTTCTCCGGACCCCCGCCTCCACCCCCTCGCCAGTTCACCGGTGCGCGGTGGGCTGGGGAGCGGACCACCCTCGAGCGAGCCACGCGCCCCAGAAAGGCGGCCGGCGGGAGTCGGGGGCGGAGGGGCGCTCGAGATCGGGTGTGTGTGGAGCCTCTGCGCGTCCGACCCCAGTCTCAGCCCCAGCGCCCGGGAAGGGCCGGGGGCTCAGCCAGTGGATGGAGACAAGCCACGCCCCACGCGCGTACGTCATCGTTTCCAAGGCAACCGGGGCGGGGCAGCGGGTGGGCGCGGCCAAGACCTCGGAGAAAAGACTGTCCAGTGCTCCGGGACGCTGCGGGCGCCGGGGGACGGGCTTTTCAATGGTCTCCTCTCGCTAGAGCCTCGGGGAAGGACAGGGACAGGCGTGTTTGTCTCCGTTCAGCAAACGTTCATTGAGCCGGAGCTGTGGCGGCTCCAGGCTCAATTAATGCGGCGCTTAATCCGGCCTGCACGGGTGGCCCACCTCCCCGGGTGCCCACACCCCGGGGTGCTCCGCCAGGAACGCCGTCATTACTAACAGCGTCCCAGTGCAGGCTCGTGTCCCTCAATTCGGGGAAGGCTCTGCATCGGGAGAAAAGAAAAGAAAAAATACACACACACACACACACACACACACACACACACAGCCGGCACTTTGCGGCTCACCCAGTAAAGTAGCACTAAGCAGTCCTTTCCAGAGAAGGAACAGGCCCAGAGAGGTTAAGGAACCTGCCCAAGGCCAAACAGCTAAGTGCTGGGATCAGGATCCACGCCCTGTTCTAGGTGACCGCCAAGGTCCTCCTGCCTCAACTCCTGCTTCCTTCTCAAAGAGGAAAGCAAACAGAGACACGGGGCCCTGACCTAGTGGAGCCTAGGTAGACTCCGGGAAGACTGGAAGTACTACCAGATATTAGGAGGTAATAAAACACAGAGTCGGGGCGACTTTCAGAGAGCAGTTGACAAAAATGATCCAAGTGGGCATCAGGAGCTGGTTTGGAGATGAGTTGGGAGGTGGTGGTGATGGAGCCCCCTGTGAGCAGGTTTTTGTGCAAGAGAGACTGAGGTTTTGCCGAGACACAGCAATCTAAGGGACCCAGAGATAGTGGGAGCCTCCAATGACAGGTTCCCTCTGTGAGCCCCAAAGCTGCTGGCTGCACCCACAGTCTGCTTTCCTGCTTCTCATTGGGGCAGTGTCACTCACAGACTTCATCCTGAGGTCTCTGCTGGTAAAATAGACACAGGTGCCCCCCCCCGCCCTCCCCCTCCCCCTCCCCCCAGTTTCAGCTTCTCCCTTTCCCATTCCACTTGGAAGAGTTTGGGAAATGGAAAATATGCAAGGGCCATCGTGTGGGCATCAGGACACCAATAGGCTTGCTACAAATGGGGAGACCAAGGAGGGGAGAAAAAAGGGAGGTCCCACCCAGGCCCAGACAGATTCAGGAGCAACCTTTGCTGCCCTTTTGCCCTGCACCAGGCCCAGGGCCAGCTCAGGGTCCTGGCTCAACCCCCGGAGGAATGGGATCTTCCTAAGAACACAAAGGTTAGCAGCTGGTGTACCCAGTGTGCTCAGTGGAGGAGTCTGACGTGATAACTGACACAATAAACCATGTTTGAGAAAGATTATTCCTGCAGGGCGCGGAGGAGGAAGGGAAAAACCTGGGTCAGAAGGGACAGTGTGGGGGCGGCGGTGGGGATCTGGGCCAAAGGCACCCTCTGTGGTGTTGGGGAGGAAGGGGTGAACGAGAAACGCCGGGGGAGATGATGGGCTGGTAACAGGCGATTTGTCTTGTTAATAGTCACATCCAAGGGGAGAATTCAGTAATGGATCAGAGAGAGGGTGGGTAAGGGAGAGAAACTAATTTACAGGGGACTGAAGCAGACCCTGCATCCAGCCGACCTTGGTCCCAGCCCGGCACCACCAGGACTAATCCTGAAACTCAGAACTGAAGGGGGCCCCTGAGCAGCGAGGGGTGTGGCCCAACTCCCCCTCCCCCAAAATGAATGGTGAGTTGGGGGAGGGGGGCTGCTTGGAGGTAGGGGGCAGAGCCAGGTGAGGGCCAGGAGGATGAGCTCAGTCACCTGGAGGGCGTGTGTGGGCAGGTGTCCTGGGGTGCCTGTACTTGGAGACAGAGTTCAGGGAGACAGGGGCGGTCTGATGGGGGTGGGGGGAGGGGGGCGGGATACAGCAGTACTTGGAGATCACTCCTGGAAGGACTTGGGACTCCATGGGGTGCTGGGCTGGAAGCTGGGTTGGTTGCATGCAAGGCAAGTGCCCTACCCATGTACTATGTTACAGGTGTCAGATTCCCCCCCCCCCCACACACACACACTTTTTGGTTTGTTGGTTGGTTGGTTTTCGGAAAGGGCAGTCTTGGGAGAGTCCCTGTCCCAGGGGAGTGCCAGCAATTTCTGAGTAATCACCGAGCTGGGCCATCAGAGGCAGGTCTCAGACACGAGGTTAGCAGGTTAGCGAGTTGGCCGGTGATGCCAAGTGCAGGAGGCACACCTGGAGGTGGGCGAAGGTGGTCCATGACCTGGATCTGCGTTGGCATCTACCTCCTCACCTGTGGGCACAGAGTGCCAGAGATGCCATCAGAGGGGCCCCAAGGCATGAGGCTCAGGTGAGGCCCATCAGCTGCCTGGGGTCCCTCCCCCAGCCCCACCCTCAGGCCCTGGAACCCAGGCCTGTGCGGACTGCCAGGGCCTTTCCTGGAACTCGCTGAGGACGGTGCCCCTCCCTGCCTGCCCTGGCACACTCCAGGCACATCGTGTCCCTTGGGTACCTTGCAGACACCGCAGGAGGCTGGGGCGGGGGACATGTCCCCACCCCCTCAGGAAGAGTCTGGCCGGGCTTTGAGCAGAGAGCTGAGCTCCCCGCCCTGGGGCGGTCACCCTCCCCGTGGCCCCAGCAGACCACAGGGGACAGCAGAAGCAGCATTGTGGTAGCTGGCAAGATTGCCGGGTCTTTGTTGTGGCTTTGGGTGGGAGGGTAGGCTGGGCAGAAAAACGGGGTCTCTGGCTTCAAAGCACCTCCCCACCTGCTTTTTCCCTCCCTCCGAGGCAATCTTCAGGGGCCTCTTGGTTTTGACGGGAGGGGACCGGAAGCGGCTCTGAACTCCTGTCGGCGAGGGACATAGCCAGGACAGACCCGGGCCACCGTGCTCTACATTCCAGTTCTCCCAGCATCCTCTTCCCTTGCTCCCCACCACCCCGAGGACTCATCCACGTGCTAACAGCGTTACACCATCACCACGGCCCACCCCACAACCACCGAGCATCCCTAAGCCGCGGGGTGGGGGTGGGGAGGGATGTGGCAAGCGGCACCCCGGGCGGGAGGGCGGGCGGCCTGCCCGGCCTCACCTGGGGAGGTAGGGGTGAGAGGAGCCCCCTCCCGGGCGGGCCTGGCGGGGCAGGGCCCGCGGTACTCGGGCGGTGGGCAAGGGAGCGACCCGGATGGGGGCCCGGGACGCCCAGGGATGCGCCCAGCGGCCACGTGGAGGCCGCGCGGCGGGCAGGGGCGGGCGGGGTGCGCGCCCCAGCCGCGGGGGGAGCCTCGGAGAGAGCCGGGTCGTCGCCGACCGCAGGCTGCGAGAGCGGTTGGTCTGGTGAGCGAGCACACCCACTTCCCCAGCTGCTGAGTCAGGCTGTTCTCGCTCCCCGCTCGCCCGCTCGGGACATTGTGTTCCAGCCCCGGCGCGCTGGCACGGGGCCCAGGCGCTCGCACCAGCCTCCTCGCCCTGTTTGT